TAACCTTAAATGCTTTTAGTTTCATGACTTGAGTCTGATTTCATTTAGTCAGCGGCTCAAACAGGCCAACTCAGAACTCACTGGGAAGGACTTTAGGCCCCAGTGGGGTGTAAATGGGGATTAGCTAAATGGTTTTGCTGAAATGATTTGGGGGACAGGAAAGGAAATTGTACTTATTCAGAGATCATTTCAGTGAATTGTGGATATTGAAAATGTCTTCTTTGTATCCTTTGTTCTGAATTTTCAGCAAAGTTTTTGTTCTGAATTGTTTGCTTTGTGCTTCAGTTGTGTCCCTTGTTGGTCATAAACTGTCAGCATTTGATATTTGAGAGCCCTTTCCTGGTTTTGGTGGCAAATGTGTCATCTGAGAGACCAAAATCAATGAGAAGTAACATCGATCCGCTCCATTCTACTTCTCCTACAGTCGTAATCTTTTTCTTTGATTTGGGGTGTTTTTTCCCAAATTGCTTTCCATTGATCTGAGAAAGACCTGGAAAAGAAATTGGCCGTTCACTGTAGACATAAACTTACCACCCATCCAGAACTTTCCCAAGGATATTATCCTCTGGGGGGAGTCGTATTCCAGCCGCCGGAGGTGCCCCCGGCTCTGCGTGACGTAGTGTACTTTGGGGGGAGTGCCCAGGAAAGAGAGCTGCCTGTCCACAGTCGTGTTTGGCAAGTATATCAAGGCCGCTTGTTAGCCACAGCACTAGGTCCATGAGTCCATTTTCATGAACTGAGGCAGCCAATCATCGGCTAATGTTTGATGTTGAAGGGGAGGCTTCTGGACCTGGATGCTACAAACCTGTGCCCTCACGTGATTGGTTCATGAGAAGGGAGGGCAGTCTTCCACCATGCCGGTAAACAGGAAGTTCCTATCTCGGTTGACTATTATCAAACTCTTTTTCTGAATGCGACACTGACGTCTCCTTCGGTAATTCATGAGTCTGAGGCTTTCTGTGCTGCATCGCAACTCCACCGTCGCCCTCTCCTCACTCGGGTAACCAAAGCCGAGCTCCCTCCCTCTCGCGTTGATGGCTGTCGAGGTGTTACCAGTCAGCAGAAACACAACTCCCCAGTGCAGCCCGGCTCAGTGCTTTACCAGCTGTGCAAACTCTTGCTACCCACCGTGGAGGTAAAAATTGCATCCAGAACCAGTTGGGAGAGACCCTACTAACAGGTCCTCATCTTTCAAGAAGAGCGATTTAATGCAATCAGGTATTTGTGGGCTCTGGACCTTTGCTTGAGCACTTGCCCTGTCGCCCCTTGGAGTTTGGCCTGTGACCCCTTCTTGGGTTCCCGTTGCGTTCTAAATGGCTGGTTCCGTAACTTCTGGTTGGTGGAAAAAATTGCCACGTGGCACCCAATATAGCATTCTCTGCACTCTTGACTTTTGACTTTTTGGTTTCTGCTCAGTGCGTGATTCTGATTCTGGCCACATTGGATGGGGAAACACTTTGGATGTCCCTAAGATTTGCTGGGTGGCGATCATCTGGAAGACCGATCAGTGACCACTAATCTGCCTGCCATCACCAAAGCAAGCGTGAACTTCGATTTTAGAATAGTAGGAGTAACTGTAGGAGACACTTGTGCTTATCTTTAATCAACCAGAAAATAAAGCACGGCATGTAGAAATGAATGGCATGAATTCCTTTTAGAGACCTTATTATATTTGGAAGTGACAGTGTGACTGAGTTAGCAAATAACTCTGCGTGACAGCAGGATTGGAGGGGAACCGTTGTTTGACCTTTAGGAAGAGGGGAGTGAATTCTGGGGATCAATGATTTTAATCTACTGCTGACTAGAGCAGGAGGCCTGGGAGGGAAGCCTGAGAGTGCCGTCTGAATTTGACAGCAACTTGACCGGGTGACTGTAGGGGTAAATCTATACAGGATGGAGCCTTATCTCAAACAGCCACACACTGATCAGCGGCCCAGCTTGCCAACCGCTCCGCTCGGAGAGCGGCATCAGCCTGCCGCCCAGGGTTCGAGGGCCGCTTGGGCCACAGGACGCGGGATGGAACGTTCTGTTCGGCGGGTGTTTCCATTTAACTGGGGACCCCCCACAGCCAAGTGCAGCCAGGTGTGAAATTCCAGAGACAAGTGAGGGAGGAAGACTTTGGGGGGGTGGAGTTAGCTCACCCCTATGGACTGACAAACGATGATTCATGTCTTTAATAGGAAATCTCTTACTTCCACAGCCTTTGTGAGACTGTTGTCCCAGTGCCCCTGTCTACCCCTCGCTGAGAAATCTCAACAGCCTCATCTCCATGGCATCTTTGCAGGATTAGAGCATCGTACTCCGCCACCTTCCTGCCCCCCCCCCAGCTAGCTTCTCACACTCGCTTGCAGTAAAACCCTTTCTTGCCTCCGTGTCGGTGCCACAAACCTGCTGTGTGGCACCGTTTGCCGTCTCACTGAAAATGCCGCTCGCAGTTACGGCCGTGACGCTCGGCCTCACCATTAAAAGCTTAATCGTCCGGAAACGTGTTTGTGCTCCACGGAGGAGCGGGATGCTTGGCTGATAAATGTACACGAATGCCTGGGTACAAGTTAGGAGCGAGGCCTTGATGCTGCCCGCATTGCTTGGTGATTTCTGTGTTGTATCCGACTGCAGGTGCTGCTGAGAAGACTGGGCATGATCTGGATTTGGAAATCTGGGTAGCTAGCAGGTTGAGATCAAATCCAGCTTGAACTGTCCCCCCCCCCTATAGCTGCACTTAGCCATCTTTACTTGCTCTATGCATAGTCAGCAGTCTTAAATTCAACCGCTTGTATGTCCGGTCTGTATGTTGCACTGTTGACCTGGAGGAGATACTATGGACCTCTGTAAGGCTCCACTCGACCGCTACCACGCTCTCTCTCTCTCTGCAATCCACCAGCCCCCAGGAGGCTTCTTTCCATGCCGGGTCTGTTGTTTATCTTGTGACTTGCTGCGGGTCATATAGCATGTGACCCCCCCCCCCCCCGTGACGATGTCAGAAAGGCATGACTGGCAGCTAAGTACATCAGCAGTAAAAAATACAGCGATGGGAACACATGTTGTTGCCCCCCCCCCCCCACAGAGCTGATCCAGGGCAGCTTATTGAGCTATGATCAATATTTTAAAGATGGTAGTTTTATGCGCTGTTGGCCATCAGCCATAAGAGATGAATGGGTCAATTAGAGCGGCCATCTCTGGGCAATTACTGCCGAGGCACACGTGCAATGCCATTTCAGCGTCTGTACCATGTAGATATTTGCCTCTCTTGTAGCGCTGCTGATTGGCTCGTCGCTGCTGCATAACCCTTTATGTCTAGAATACTGCGCTCAGCAAGGCCACCATGAAGGAGCTTCTTGCTTTCTGGGAGTAACAGGGACACATGCTCAAGATTTATATACATAAAACTATAGCCTGTAATGTCTATGGATATGTGAGATGGATGATGGCTGTCACACCTGGGACCAGTTTGATCTGGCTGCTTAACCTGTGGTTTGAAAAGCTCTGTCCAGACTGCTACACCTCACTGGGGGACGTTCGTATCACTTGAGTCTGTCGCCATGCCGACATGATGGGACTGATTCACGACTTGCTTGTCCCCCAACCTTGCATAGTCGAAAATATAAATGGCTCGCCGGTGGCAGGCGCTACCCGTCCAGACGACGGCGTGTTTGTTCTCGTTCTGGCGGGACATCGCGGCTGCAGGCGGAGAAACACTTGAACAGTTTCTTTTAAGAACCGCGCCTTTATTGAGTATCAAATGCACTCAAGTTAACCCATAGTACCGCTAACAGGGAGGAGACCTAGACGCTGAAGCTACAAGACGGGATCACGGTTGTTAACGCAAAGGGATGCAGAACCACAAGCAAGCATGTCGTCAACCAAAGAGAGACGCACATTACAACTATAAACCATTAACAAAGTGATATAAGCCCCACGACAATGTGAAATTTATCTAATTTACCACAGCATCGGAGTGAGCGAGCAGGAGATGATGGGTAACTGGCTACACCTCGCCCCCGAGGTGATTTGCTACAATTTTTTTTATGGGTGTGAAATGATGCTGTAATACCCTTAGTGATGTTATGCCGCCTTTCAACCATCTTGTGTTTTAGGATTATGGTCGGGTTGCTGGTGGCTTGTTCCTAGTTTCCAGTACCCATGAACGGCGTCTGGTGCACCTATCTGGCACTGACTTTACCCAGCCGCAGGCTAAGAACCTTTTAGGTGGCTGGCCTTCATGTCCGAAGCCATTCTGAAGAACGCGGCCATCTCCGAGGAACTAATGGGGAGACATTGTAACGGAAGAGCAGTGTAAAGAGAGCCAGCAGACTTAGTGGCCTCGAAAGTCTTCCATTTGGGTGCTTGTATCCATATTACGTAGTTGCACTTTTGCAAACTGCAAGCATGTGGCTAGCATCAGGGCGAAACCCCGTCCTCGCCGTGGGCCCCCGGCCAGCTCTGTAAGGCAAGAAGGTGTCTGGGTTCCCTGGAGTCAGCCGCATCGATCCGGCAGATTCTTCTCCAAACTCCGACGGCCGGGCAGCGAGGTCACCTCGCGTGTCATCATCTGTCTGAGGTTCAAAAGGCACCATGACCTTCACAGGGGGGAGAGCGGGTGGGGTGCAGATGCCTCTTGGGGATTTTTGTTATGAACCGTCCGTGTCGTACAGCTCGTCTCGCTTTTCAGCCCATTTTTCATTGGAAATGTAGATGAGTCTCTCTAATTTCACTGTTCATTTCTCATCGGGTTGCCGGTTTACAGTCTGACATTGTTGTGTCAGGATTTTCTTTAAATGTCTTGGTGTAGGTGATGATGTGACGGTTCAGGGTGAGAGATCCTCTGGAAAAGACCATCAAGATGAGACGATTCGTGTGTGTGTGTGTCAGAGAGAGAGAGAGAGAGAGAGAGAGAGAGAGAGAGAGAGAGAAACGGGAGCACAAGACCGTAAGCCGTTTCCTTTCAGCAGATCCACTAACCCCCCCCCCCCTCTTTGTCTGTCTCCCCCCTCGCTTCACAGAGCGCGCCATCGCAAGGCATGAGGTGCGGGAGATTGAACAGCGCCACACTCAGGATGGCGTGCACGAGCCGCCGCTGGGCGAGAGCGATGACGTAGTCATCATCTACAATCGCGTGCCCAAGACGGCCAGCACCTCCTTCACCAACATCGCCTACGACCTGTGCGGCAAGAACAAGTACCACGTCCTGCACATCAACACCACCAAGAACAACCCTGTCATGTCCCTGCAGGACCAGGTGAAGGGCGCTTCTCCTTTCATAAGTCAAATAAAGCCCCCCCCCTCTGTTTTCCACCTCTTTTGATAGCCCCCCCAAGAAGTATGGCTTTATAATATTGTAACAAATTCACATTCTTCTTCACTATAGGGAAGTAATTTTACTACTTTGTATTTAAATGTGTTTTTTTAATCCATTATTCATAACACACACACACACTGCCTAAAGCTGGATAAAAAAATGGGTAAAAACAGCATGTTCTTAAACATGAGTGTAATTATGGATGCCTGCTGAATTGCTGTAGTATTCTAGCTGGTTCAGTAAAGTGCCATATAGCTTGTTTGAAATGGGACATAAATTCGGTATTAAATGTAGCCGGTGAGACTCGAGTTAAGAGGAGCTGCTCATGCTGAAGTGTCCTGAGCGTTTTATCATAAATATCTGTCCGCGTGGGAACGGCGCTAAACAGATTATAACCCCACATGCCTTCTGGTCACGCTTATGATGTGACCCATGACAGGTGTTTCCTCTCGGGACACTGTGACGTTTGCTGTCCAAGTGGGTCGCATCTCTGGGGAGGGCTGAAAGGCCAGTATCAGGACGTCCTGGAATTTTGGGAAGGAGTCTCTGGTTCTGATGTCGTGTGCTCATACAGGTGCGGTTCGTGAGGAACGTGACGTCCTGGACAGAGATGAAGCCGGCTTTTTACCACGGACACGTGGCTTTCCTGGACTTCTCCAAGTGAGCGCCCTCCATTGCTAAGCTTCTGGCATTTGCCATCATTCTCGGCCTCCGGGGTCCTTCGCATCGGGACGTTTCTTCTGGTTACTATTCTCTTTGACGTTTTGTTAACAGGCAAATGTTACTGGGGTCAGACAGATGCTTGTGTCATCGCTGTGTCATTTAGAAGATAACGAAGATGTTCTCCATCTGGAGCTCTTTTGAAGTGTGATTTCATTTAAAAAGAAAATTCTTTAAAGTGGAATTATTGATGACTTTGTAATGTATTACAATATTTTTTCAAACCCTCAATAAGTATCAAGGACTGTGTCATTTTTTCTATAACTATTGACAGTATGAATCAATATGCATCCTTGGTGCTGATGCAGGTAAACTGTACTGTGTCTCAATGTGTTGCCTTGGCCTTAGTGCTAAGCACCCCCCCTCCCCCCCCAAGGCTGTGTGTAAGACTCAGAGACCACCCCAGTGCTGTGTGCAGAGTAAATAAGCTACTAGGGAACCAGAGGAATTTTAAGGGAGGTCGTGGCTCAGTGGGTGTTTGGAAACCACTGAGAATTGGGCAATACAACAGCGGACTGGGAGGCTGTTCTACCACAAGGGGGGCTGCATTCCTGCAGCTAATTCAGAAATAATCGTCAGTTACAAAAAATGTGGCTCATTAATGTTCCGCTGCTATTGTGGACAATGAGAACGTGTTGGTATTCAGAGCAGCACATCAGAGTAGTGGACCTGCCTCTTAACCGGGTAAGATTTTAAATTGGGTGGTAGGTGCCACCTTGTGGTTGAAAAGAGCTTTGCATCAATATGAACATTATGTAGGGGAAATTTTTCCTTTGACAAAAACCACAATAGTCAATCCACTGATTTGCAGTTTTGTTTTGCTTGGTGACAGATCTGCGTTTCCCTTCCTTGAGATTTTTAACGTGAATATATGACTGCATACTGATTTCTTAGTGTTGATGTTGGTATCCACGTTATTTTGGTACCATGCCTGGGGCCTTCATTCCATCTGAACTGATCTGGCCACCAGTCCAGTTCTTCCACAAAGGTGACATGCTGAAGGATGATTGACAGGTAACTGGCCCCTCCCACTCCAGGTTCGGCGTGAAACGAAAGCCCATCTACATCAATGTGATCCGAGACCCCATCGAGCGCCTTGTGTCCTATTACTACTTCCTGCGCTTTGGAGATGACTACCGACCAGGACTGAGGAGGAGGAAGCAGGGAGATAAGAAGGTAATGCAGCCCACTGTCTGTGGCCAGTGGTGACTGGAGAATGGAGATGGGCGGAGTATCTTCCCTGTCACAGTCTTGGTTTAATCCAAAGGTAGCTGGTAGAGCAGGTGATTGACAGTGCATAGTCCTGCCTATGGTGGGTTTTATGCCTTGTTTCCCAGCATCCTCCACTTCCTGCCTATATTTCTGAGGTGGATTGTTTATGCCGTGGGTATAATTTGTCCCCCTGAATCCTTAATAATCATCCCAGTGAAGCTCCTCCTCCATTGACGTGCCGCTACGAGTCAGCGGAATTCTGAGAACTCTGTGGAAGATGTGTGTTCACCACCGAAGCTAGGGGGCGCTAGCAAGCCAGCCGATGACTTCGGTCCTGAGGACCTCGGTCTGGACTCGGCTCATGGGTCTCTAATGGTGTCACTCCTCTCGTTGCAGACCTTCGATGAGTGCGTGTCGTCCGGCGGGTCCGACTGCGCTGCAGAGAAGCTCTGGCTGCAGATCCCTTTCTTCTGCGGACACTATTCGGAATGCTGGTGAATGACCCTTCTACGGCTGCTTTTGCCATATCATGATAGAGCAGCTATTGTCTAATTACGCAGACGTAACCTAATTATCTCTTGGATGAAACTGGAAAGGATCGGCGCAGTTATGTGCCGCAGTGTGTACTCCCCGCCACAGGGTGGCACCAGTGAGTCACATGTGACTGACCACTCTGCTGCTTCTGGCAGGAACGTGGGGAGCCGGTGGGCGCTGGAGCAGGCCAAATACAACCTGGTGAACGAGTACCTGCTGGTGGGCGTGACCGAGGAGCTGGAGGACTTCATCATGATCTTGGAAGCAGCTTTACCACGCTACTTCCGTGGTGCCACTGAGCTCTACCGTACAGGTAACCAGGTCGTACCGCCCCTCACTTCATTACAAATTCACTTCCGCTGGACCTAAACCGGCGTGATCGTGTAGGCTTACACTCCGGCAGCTGGGCCTTAACCGCATGACGCCGTCCGTTTCCAGGGAAGAAGTCTCACCTGAGGAAGACGAGCGAGAAGAAGCCTCCCACCAAGGAGTCCATCGCTAAGCTCCAGCAGTCGGACATCTGGAAGATGGAGAGCGAGTTCTATGAGTTTGCCCTGGAGCAGTTCCAGTTCGTCCGCGCCCACGCCGTCAGGGAGAAGGACGGAGACCTCTACATCCTGGCTCAGAACTACTTTTACGAAAAGATTTACCCCAAGATGAACTAGGGTCCGGGGTGGGGTCGCAGATGTAGAGGAACTGACTGAAGATTTTTACCTCAACACTGCCATCATCTCTGTGGGGCGATTTGAAGGAACACAGCTCTGACTAAGGAACAGGACGCGCTCTGATTGGATGGCCGGGGCCCTCACGGGGCCCTCCGGTGGCTCTGGGGGCCCTGTGGACACTTTCATTGATTCTCATACCTGTAGCAGTCCACTGAAACGGGCTGTAGTAGCCAAACTATCACCCAAAAAGGGCAGGCAGACATTTACCAGTGTGTCATGGACATCAGCAACCAGGCTGTCTCACACTGATCTTTTTTGACCCCCCCCTCAGGTTAAAGGTCACTTTTCCTACAGACACGGCGCGGTCCGAGGGGGGTGCGTCGTGGTCACGCAGCCAGCAGGTGTCACTTTCGAGTCCGGTTCCCCCCGTCCTAAATGTTGTCGTGATTTCTACTCACTCTCCATCAGCGTGCTTTTATTTTGGGATTTTTTAATCATTCTTTTTGTGTATTTATGTATTTTTTCTTTTTGGTTTTGATGGTGAGGAGGCTGTAACAGATGGGAGAGGATGGGGTTGATTCTTTTTACAGTGATGTTGATCATTTGTTGTATTTCCTGACAAAACTTGTTGCTGAAGCTCAGCAGAAGACTGACCCTCATCCTGGGTCTCAGGGGATCGGCCCACTCCTCTTAGTTTGTGGGGGAGTCCACTGCCCAGACTATGGGATCGGCCCACTTCTCTCTGTTTGTGGGGGAGTCCTCTGCCCAGGATATGGGATCAGCCCACTCCTCTCAGTTTGTGGGGGAGTCCACTGCCCAGACTATGGGATCGGCCCACTCCTCTCAGTTTGTGGGGGAGTCCTCTGCCCAGGCCATGGGATTGACCCACGTCACTTTGCTTGTGGGGGAGTCCTCTACCCAGGCCATGGGATCGGCCCACTTCACTCTGCTTGTGGGGGAGTCCTCTACCCAGGCCATGGGATTGGCCCACTCCACTCTGACTGTGGGGGTGTCCACTGGTTCCATTACAACATGCTGATGTACATTTATTGATTTTTGTTAGTTTTTTTTCCCTTGCATCTTGTACAATTTTACCTGTAGAAGTATTTTTGCTAGGTGCTTTGTAAAGTGTTTACAAGCGTTGTAATTAAAACCAGACTGAAACAAAGGAAAACTAACCTGTTGCTGTACATATTGCTCATTTTATGTATTTGGACCAAATGGTTATATTAAAAGGGGAAAAAAGGTTTCCTGTTCACATCCCATTTCTGTTTCTGAAGGGCAAAAGCTCATCTCACATCCATAAAGCCTGAACTGATATTTAGTTTTTAAGATTTGATTTTTGCAACTTGAATGAACATATAATTATTTTAACTTTACATTTTAGTCGGCCCACTATCCTGATCACTAATCCTCTGTGTCAGCCTGTGAGATCAAGGGTCTTTCCTCCGGCTTGCCCACATCCTCCGCTCTTTGTGGAGCTGGCCCTCCTGTGGTGATCTCAGAACTGGGCATGCTCAGAGGTCGTGACGGGCTCCGCCCCCATCGAATGCCTTTTCACCAGCTGGCCGAAACCTATTTTGGGGAGATGCCATCTTTTGTTTACATTGCAGTGGGTTCTATTTATTTTAAAAAGTAGTCAGGAGACCTCTCTGCAGCTGCATCACACTGGTTTGGCCACCAGAGGGCACTGAGGTTCCCACTTCCAGTGAAAGCCAGTGAATGTCAGACTACTCAGAGGCCATTAAAGTTCTTCTGTGTGACATCATGGCTCCTTCTTAAGTGGCACGTGGGTGCGTCGTCTACAGCAGGACATCGCACTTGACTCAGTACTAAGGTTTTTCCACTTGCTGCCGGTCCTATCCCGCTGTCACCTCTGTGGGGCGATTCAGTTAGTTCAGGGTTGGCTTTTGCTCCTGATCAAGCATTTGTGAGCCTGTTTCTGAGGCTCATTCCTGAAGCTCCACAGAGAGATGACACAAGCTTCAGTCAGTGACACATTGGTGACAGGAAGCCCCTGTGATGTAATAACAGGAAGTGGGGGTGACTGACTTCACCTCAAACCTGGAGGACCTCTTATTCTGCCTGCTGTGGGCGCCGTTGAGCAAGCTTGGGCTGTGGATGGGTTGCTGTCTGAATATTTCCTCACGACGAGCATGTCGTATTGCCACGAGTTGAGTGCTTTTTCTTACAACCAAGTTTAGCATGTTTGTGAAACAGGTATAGAAACTCAGAGCTTTTGGTTAAAATCCCCTATATTTTTATTATCGTCAGACTGATAATAAAAATACGATTCCTAAAACACAAGACGCAATGCCTTCACACTTTAGCTGACATTTATAATCCAAGATGTCTTTCCTGGTTGGTGTAGACAGCTATAAATTTCCCGTTTAAGCACGTTCAGGCTGGAGCCCCCCATGGAGCCCTGAACCCGTGAGTTTTTCTGTCGCAGGAGCCCCCCATGTGTGACTGGCACCCTCCCCACTGCGCTCATCATCAAAACCACGGTCAATTTTTTGGATTAATTACTGACCGGGCACAACTCAATGACAGTCAACTGCAACCATGAGAAGCTCTCCTAAAATAAATCTTATATCCCCCCCCCCATAAAATGTCCTGGCCCTCGTCTATAGCGGACGGCATGCGGGCGCCCTGACACCCATGCAGGGGTCCTGTGCCCCCCCCCATCGATCGTCGGATGTGTTTAGTTTTATTATCCATTTTGTCGCTTTCAGATTGTGCAGAAGCATTTAATAAACACGCTGAAAGCCTGACCTGCTTCTGCCACGCTATTCATACCAAATACTGCCGCCCCACCCACCTGCCCTGAGTTTGTACCACCAATGAGACCTATTTGCTAAACTAGGGCTTTATACATTTGGTCATTTAAAGAGTAACTTTCTGATATTTGTGTTGACTGATTAATCCAAAACGCAGGTTTGGCTGTGTTCGGCGCCTGATTCATTCATTGGCCCACGGATTAACTCCCGAAGGATGTGCGTGAGCTGGATGTCGCCCTAGTGGCTTTTAGCGCCCTCTGCTGGCGGCGCTCAGTCAGGCAGCTGCTGTAGGTTTAATATAACTTATTTTTTTAGCGGCTTTATATTTTTTATTTCGGATTTTTGTGTCTCCGTTACTCCAGTCTTACAGAAATCTTACGCGATTGTTTATTTAATTTTCTTATTTTATTGTGACTGCAGTTATCTGCGAATGGTTCAGCTTCCCGTCTGTGTGCCGTCGCCTCATCCTTGGGGTGGGACAGTGGCGTCGGGGGTAAAGTGTGACCTGAAATGGCACCAGATACAGAAGTGAAATGCTGTCCAACAGCTTCAACCACACGGAGGACCGGCCTCAATTAGGGGAACGTTAACAACACACACACATAAACTCAATTAACTCCTGGCTGCAGGCATATTTCAACAGTGAGCCATTAATGAGCCCGATGCCGGCTAATAATTATCTCGTCTCAATTAAAAAGAAGCGTCCAGTCCGTATTGATTCGGATCGATGAGCTTCAAGGTTAATTGCGAAATGTGAAAAATTCCAGCATTGCATGGGGCCCCATCTGTTTAATCCCATAGCCCTGTTTTTATTTTCTGCCGCAAAATTGGGGTGCTGACAATTAACGCTGCATCGCTCCGCTACCTGTGGTGAGCAAAAAGATTAATGGCTTCAACCTCCTTTTACAACACGGGCTGCATTTTTAGTGCTACGTTTTAAAATTCTAAAAATGGTTAAATTCTATAAATTCAGTTTTCAAAGCGGCTCGGAGTCTGGCCGCATGCAAACTAGGTCACATGATTCCGCGGCAAACGAAACGGGGCAGCTGCTCGGTGTCTGTCCTGACGCAGCTTGTCCACTGGAGGGGGCTATTACACTGGTGGTCTCCTGCAGAGAGAAATATCTTACTCCGGCTTACTCTGAGTAGCTAATTAAAGTCATCCCACTTGTGTCTGTGTGACACAAAATTAAACAAATGATCCAGAATGCTCATTAAGAATACAAATTACACCATTAGGCACTGCAGAACCAACACTTTTGGTACCGGTGCTGCTATTTATAGACTGTTAGTCCTACTAAGAAAAATTTATATGTGTTGTTTTGTAGAGGCTTGAACAAGGACAGCTCAGAGAAGGTAATCTGAGGCCGCCCAGTTTAGCTCGGAGTCTGGTTTTTAAGACTATTTCATGGCCGTCATAAATTAAAATGCACTGTGCTAAAGGTCTGATTTTACAAAGTGAGTTCACAATGCTAATTTAATTAAGAGTCACTGTTCGCTCCCTTTTTAGTCAAATATTTAATTAATGTAAGGTGCAGAGTCTTAATTAAGACCCAATGCTTTTGAACTTAAGGTTTCTAAATGTAAATTGTGGCAGGTGGAAGGTCAGTTCGACATTCATTTGTATTCTGCGTCGCTGGGAAAGTTTACAAGAACAAATGTTAAGAGTTAAACTGAGAATTCTCAGAGACTCCACATGGACATCCATCGACCCTCTATCCTTTTATCCTGGGCAGGGGGGGTGGGGAGGGGAGGGGGGGGAGTGGGTACATCCTGGAGTCCTTCACTAGTGGTTACTATGTTCTTAGACCAAACCAGCAAACTGACACGACGAGGCGAGAGTTTAAGGTGCCCAGCCCAGAAGCTTTGAGGCCCCCCCTGAAAACGTGAGTGAGCTCCGTGGAAAAATGTGCCTCTGGTAGCATTGGGAGCTCAGTGCGACCCCCCCCCCCCACCCCATCCCGAAACAGGCACCACGCCGCCCGGAGAGACCTCAGTCAGACTGCGGCAGGTGACGGACGTGCAGGTCTTAACGGTTTGGCGATTCGAGATCCCGGATTCGCCCACAGGGGGACTGTGTCCTATCAGTCTAATCGGCGACCGTACTTTTGTTTCACGTTATAAAGGAAAGTCGAGTGTCAAAGTGAGCAAAACAGGACAGCAGGTGTGACACAAAGACATGAAGTGCCTGTGAGCCACTTTGGGTAAAAGCATCTACATAATGACGTG